GGGGCTGGTAGGGTTGAACCCAGCCTGGGCCAGCTAAACAATGACAACTGCAAAAAGAAAAAAAAAAATAGCCGAGCATTGTGGCAGGCACCTGTGGTCCCAGCTACCAGGGTGGCTGAGGCAAGAGAATTGCTTAAGCCCAAGAGTTTGAGGTTGCTGTGAGCTGAGATGCTACAGCACTCGTCCGAGGGCAACATAATGAGACTCTGTCTGAAAAAAAAAGAAAAAAGATTTGTAAGTGTGGGCTGGGGCCATGGCTCATGCCTGTAATCCCAGTACTCTGGAGGCCTAGTGGAGGTGGAGGGAGTGGAGAGTAGGGTAGGGGAAAATTGCTTGAGGTCACAGGTTCAAGACCAGCCTGAGCTAGAGTGAGACCCATGTCTCTAAAAATAGCCGGGCATTGTGGCAGGTGCCTATAGCCTCAGCTACTAGGGAGGTTGAGAGAAGATAACTCCTTGAATCCAAGAGTTTGAGGGTCCGGTGAGCTATGACTCCATAGCACTCAACCAAGGGTGACAAAGTGAGACTTTTGTCTCAAAAAAAACTTTTGTGTGTGTGGATTAAATGATCAACTTTAAAAATCTTTCCCATTTATTTAGGTCATCTTTAATTTCTCCAAATATCTCATTAATTTCTTGGTGGATGTCTTAGATATCTTTCAGTAGATTTCATTCTATTATAAATGGTATTACTTAAACATTTTTCATATGATCTCATATCCAGTGGCCTTTGAAAATTCACTTAATTCTAATACTTTACCTGTAGATGCTTTTAGACTTCATTGGCAAATGTCAGTTTCATTTCTTTTTATGATTTCTTTTTTTTGACAGAGCCTCAAGTTCTGGGTAGAGTGCTGTGGCATCACAGCTCACAGCAACCTCCAACTCCTGGGCTCAAACGATTCTCCTGCCTCCGCCAGTTTCATTTCTGTGCAATGGCCTTACCATGTTCACAGGCTATAAGACATTATAAAGACGTTAGTTTTCAGGGGCTAGGCAGACTGCCTCATGCCTGTAATCCTAGCACTCTGGGAGGCTGAGGCAGATGGCTTGCTTGAGCTCACGGGTTGAAGACAAGCCTGAGCAAGAGCAAGACCCTTTCTCTAAAAATAGCCAGGTATTGTGATGTGCGCAGCTATAGTCCCAGCTATTTGGTAGGCTGAGGCAAAAGAATCATTTGAGTCCAAGACGTTAAGGTTGTTGTGAGCTATGATGCCAGGGCACTCAACTGAGGGTGACAAAAAGAGTCTCTATCTCAAAAAAAAAAAAAAAAAATGAGAGAGACAGGTATTAGTTTTCCCCAAACTGATTTACAGTTTCAATACAATACCAATCCAAATCCCAACTGGGTCTTTTTTTGGTGAAAATTAAGAATCTGTTTTTAAAATTTATATGGGAACACAAAGGGCTAAGAAATGTCAATCTGGAAGAATTACAAAATTGGAGGACTTACACTACAGATATAAAAATCTGTAAATATAAAAATCTAATTATAAAGCTACAGCATTAAGTAGTGTGATCGTGAAAAGGATAGAGAAATACACTAATACATTGGTCATCTGATACATGACGCAAGAAAGGTCTCTTCAAATATAATTGCAAAACATCATTTCCATTATCTTTGGATGGAAATACCCCCGAAATTTTTGATACCTACCTCAAAAGTGAATTCCAGAAGGATTTAACTAAATGTGAATGTAAAAATAATAAAGCTTCAAGAAGCTAACAAAGGATCATATCCATGACCCTGGAATAGGCTGAGAATTCTTTTTTTTTTTGTAGAGACAGAGTCTCACTTTGTTGCTCTGGGAAGAGTGCTGTGACATCACAGCTCACAGCAACCTCCAACTCCTGGGTGATTCTCTTGCCTCAGCCTCCTGAGAAGTTGGGACTACACACACATGCCACAATGCCCAGCTATTTGTTGTTGTTGCAGTTTGGCCGGGGCTGGGTTTGAACCTGATACCCTCGGTATACCGGGCCGGCGCCCTACTTCCTGAGCCACAGGTGCCGTCCTAGGTTGAGACTTCTTAAACAGAACATAAAAGGTACTAACCATAAAGGAAAAGATTAATAAACTGACTTCATAAAAATTAAGGGATTTTGGTCATCAAATAGTATCTTCAGGGTAAAAAGGCAAGAGTAGTAGACATAGTCTAGCTTTATAATTAGATTTTCATATCTGTAGTGTAAGTCCTCCAAGTCATTACAATCAACTAATTTTTTTAAAAAGTTGTCTTTAATTATCATCCTGATAGCTGCTAGTAATTTTGTTTTCTTTCTTCTTCTTCTTCATCTTCTTTTTTTTTTTTTTTTGGAGACAGAGTCTCACTTTATCACCCTTGGTAGAGTGCTATGGCGTCACACCTCACAGCAACCTCCAACTCCTGGGCTAGGCGAATCTTTTGCCTCAGCCTCCCGAGTAGCTGGGACTACAAGCACCTGCCACAACGCCCGGCAGGTTTTATTGTTGTAGTCGTCATTGTTGTTTGGCAGACCCAGGCCAGATTCGAACCTGCCAGCTCCCGTGTATGGCTGGCGCTCTAGCCGCTGAGCTACAGGCACTGAGCCTATTTTTTTGTTTTTGAGCCAGAGTCTCACTTAGTCACCCCTGGTAGAGTGCTGTGGCATCATAGTAATACCAGAATTTCACTCTTCAGTAGGTCCTGGGTCTCAGGGATTCAAAGAATGAACCCACGGACCACAGATTGGTGGTAAGATAGGACTTTTATTAGAAGTTAGAAAGGAATACGGAAGAAGTAAAAAGCACCAGAGCTTCTGGAAGGGGGAAAAGAACTGAAGAACTCACTGGGGAGTCTCCACATGGGCTCTTTTGTCTAGGAGTGTTAGGTCTAGAGAATTACACCTGGCCGGCAGTTGGGAGATGGAAATACATCTTCTCAAAGTTAGCGAGTGCATGAACAAATGAATGAATGTAGTTCCTCCTCCACTAGGGCCAGGTTATCAGGTCCTTCAGGGGACCTGAGAAGGGATTAGGGTGTGTGCTCCTAGGCAAGGTAGAACCAGCCAAAAAACCATCATAGGCTGCTTTGTTCATGATCTTAACAGAGCCCAGAGGGTGTGTCCTGAAAAAGGCAGTCTGCTTGTGCCTGGAAATGGGGGTCTGACCTCTAAGCTCACCTTGGACTAGAAAATGGGGGGCTCTCTGTCTAGCCCTGAGTAGTGGAATTCTGTATCAATACCTTACAGCAACCTTAAACTCCTAGGCTCAAGTGATCCTCTTGCCCCAGCCTCCCCAGTAGTTGGACAGGCACCCACCATGCCTGGGTATTTTTTAAGAGACCAGGGTGAGGGTGAGTGGGTGAGTCTCACCCTGGCTCAGGCTGGTCTTTAACTTGTGAGCTCAGGTGATCCACCCACCCTGGCCTTTTTAACTTCTTTTGTTGATATAGCATCTTGCTTTTTGTCTAGGTTGGAGTGCAGTGAGGCAATCGTAGCTCAGTGTTAACATTGAACTTCTGGGCTCAAAGGATCCTTCTGCCTCAGCCTCCTGAATACTTTAAATGAAGGGTGGTCAGTTTAAACTGAAACCTCAAATGACGACTAGTGATCACAGTTGGATTATGTGAACCAATCAGTGAATGATGACAGTAGCTGTTCTTTTTTCTTGCCCACAGTTTGAATCCCTGGTCTCAGCTGAAGCTTGCGGGTGAGGGTGGATGGCTGGCTTAACACTAAACCTCCATTCCACACTCCTAGCGGGTGCTCCTGTAATAAAGTGGAGAGAAAGCTGGAAGCTTCATTTCCCAGAATTTCTTACAGCTAGGATCCAGGATGTGATTTACTTTTGGCCAAACAGAAGCATCTATACAAGGCAGATGTGAGAGGCAGGCTGTGCTAATGCCAGCAGGCAGGGTCATGAAAGTGATTTTTCTGAGGCAGGATGCAGACAAAATTCTTACACTTAAGAACAAAGGAATAGTAGAAAACATCTAGGGTGGAATGCCACCAGTGATCGTGTGGCTACCTGATCACAGCACTCCCCAGATCCTCACAATGTTGGTGTGCTTTAGGGTTGGGGATGGATGGTTTTCTGAACTTAGAAGGAGCAGCAGCTCTCTTGGGTGGCAGTGCAGCATTGGGAGTCATTCTTCAAAGTTCTCTCAGTTCTCAAGAATTCTAAACTGAGATTAATATTTCATTTAAAAAAAAAGTCCTCTGGCTTAAATCAATTAGAATTAACTCTGTTCTTCACTACTATATCTTAATATTAACATAGGGCAGTGGCGATGGTTCTGAGAATGTTGTAAGCACGCTGTCAGGAACTTTGATGAAATTTTATCCTATTTGCAAGCTACCGGTCAGCTTGTCAGTTTCATGGATCCTAGCAGAAGACATGAGACTCCTGGGTCAGAGTTAAAGGACTTCATTCCTCCCAGCACAGCAAGTAGCATAGGGAGCCTCGTTTCCTGTCAGTTCTTCCCCCAAGTTCTATATGGGCAATGCAGAATGGCCCAATGAGCACACAGAGGGTTTAGATCACAGGTGAGGAACCTTAGGTTTAGGGGACCCAAATCTTTTATAATCTTTTTACTGTGGTAAGAGACATTATCTTTATTATAAAGGGACAGTAAACAAATCTGCCTTCCTATCAAAGGATACACTATCTTCTTCCAAGGCTATTCATAATACATATATCCTTGGAAAAGATAGTCCAGAACTAAAGTTGACAGGGTCTCTATTCACATGATGTGAAAAAAGGCTAGAAACCCACAGAGAACTGTTTCCCAACAGACATTAGCCAACATCTTATTTGGACTAGTCACTCCTGTTTTAGAGCACAAGACCAGGTTTTATTTTTCAAAAATATACTTTCATCTAGTCATAGAATTTAACAAACATTTGTATACAGTTAGAGACTAATTTTTAGTACGTTTTCTATTCACTCCAGACACGAGAAAACACCATAGCAGTCATCAATAAAGATATCCATCCATAAATTACTTTTATTTCTCATTAAATGAGCACAGAGTCATTAGCATATTAATAACAGATATGTTTATTACTACATATCCATCAGTGCGGCTTTCATACCACTTGAAACATGCATATCATCCTAGAGACGATCAGTTTTCCAGTGCTTCTTATTTGACACACATTACTGCAAAGCCATTATAAATTACTGAGGAGGTATTTGGTTAAAAAAGAAACAATAAATCATACTGCCCACATGAATCAGCTCTTGTCATTAGACAAGAGTTTAACAGTATTTATCTGGTTATTCCTATGTTAACTGGAAAACATCACGAATGTATTGCCATAATTTTCTTTTTATATTGGTGCAACCTTCTACATTTTTTTGCAGCTAGTTTTATAAAGTCCTTATAGCAGGTAGTTCGATGCAAAGATTGTACTCAATTTATGAAAGTCCAACAAACCTCTATTTTAAATTAAACCAATTATTAAGGAGAAAAACCACTGACACACATAATTTTTTGAAAATAAGTTTTCTGACATTTCTATACTTACTCATGGCAGTAAAATAATTCTCTCAAATTTAAGGCACTAAAAGGGCAATGCAATTCCCATCGAAAGTGTTCTAAGAATAATTTACATTTCAAACAGTGCATACATTTCTTATATGTTTGTTAACTTAATGTCTTTATCACTTAAAACCACAAAGAAACACATTATACAGTTACAGAAATGATGTACCCCACAAAATGCTTTTAAAGTTGGTTCTTTTGTACAGTTAGTTCCTAATGTCTCTAGTAGTAAAGTAACTCAATATGGCTTGGCAAAATGCATAGATTAAATGTAATTTTTTCTTGTCTTCTCCCACTCCCCCAACTTGCTGAAACATATACAGTATTTTGTAAAGCATAATGTAAGACATTTAACTTCTCCATCCAGTCCTCCATGGGCAATCAACAGTAAGGCTTTTAAATTCTACAGTGAGGGCACTGAAGTTCAAGTGATACCACTGCTTTACTAAAATAGTTTTGTAGAGTCTTGCAAGAGCACGCAAATTTAAGTCATTTAAAAAAAACTTCAGTTTGTCTCATTTTGAGATATTTTTATTACTCCTTCCATGAGCTGATCTTGATAGTGATGGCCATTCCACTTGAAAGTGAAAGTCCCTTCCTCTCACTCATATGAGGAAAACTCTGTTCTATCACGATTGACAGGCATTTTCTTAGGAATTCAAAAAGGCAGCACCTTTTTTAAAAAAAATATATCTACCTAAGCTTCCCCCCAATTGTACTTGCATTACATAGTAATAATTAATCTAATCTACCTGTAGGCAAACCCGCAATAAAAAAAAAACCCTCAGTGTGTTGTGCCAAAGCAAGAACAGAATAACAGCAATCTTAACCCTGAAGCCTGTGATATTTGTGTCAAAGAAATAGCCTGTCTGCTTTGCATGGTTAAAGAAGCCTGGTTTTTCAGGTAGCTTTCCACACGATTCCACAAGGCACTGGGCTGCCTGGTTAACTGCTGGGAAAAGAAAAAAAAAAAAACCCTATTAACTTCAGAAATGCATTCAGTGTTGTTGTTGTTTTTAACATTTTATTTTATTATTTATTTATTTATTTATTTGGAGACAGCACCTCAAGCTGTCCCCCTGGGTAGAGTGCTGTAGCATCAAAGTCCACAGCAACCTCCAACTCCTGGGCTCAAGCAAGTCTCCTGCCTCAGCCTCCCAAGTAGCTGGGACCACAGGCGCTCGCCACAACACCCGGCTATTTTTTGGTTGCAGCTGTTTGGCGGGCCCAGGCTGGATTCTAACTTGCCACCTTAGGTGTATGTGGCTGGCGTCTTAGCCACTTGAGCCACAGACACTGAGCCTGCATTCAGTTTTAAAATACAAGAAACAAAAATGGAAAGGAAAGGTAAATACATACATACATATATATATATATATATATATATATATATATTTTTTTTTTTTTTTTTTTTTTTTGTGAGACAGAGTCTCACTTTATCACCCTGAGTAGAGTGCTCTGGCGTCATGGCTCACAGCAACCGTCAACTCCTGGGCTTAGGCGATTCTCTTGCCTCAGCCTCCTGAGTAGCTGGACTACAGGTGCCCACCACAACGCCCAGCTATCTTTTTGTTGCAGTTTGGCTGGGACTGGGTTTCTGGGGCTGTGTTTGAACCTGCCACCCTTGGTATATGGGGCCAGTGCTCTGCCCACTGAGACACAGGTGCCACCCAATACATATTATCTTTAGATATAATAATTAAAAATTACACAAAATTTGGAAAATGTGGAAAAGGTAAAATATACTTAGTATTATCTTTTGTTTCTACTCTTTTTTTCCCTCGACATAGTTCTACCCTATGTCCTGAGCACAGTGCGATGGCATCGTAGCTCACTGCAACCTCAGACTTGGGCTGTGGGCATCCTGCTGCCTCAGCCTCCGAAGCCACTGGGATTATAGGTGCTTGCTGTGGCGCCAGGCTGGGTTTTTCCATTTTTTTCCATGAGTCGGGGTCTCACTCTTGCTCAGATAAGCAATGAACTCCTGAGCTCAAGCAATCCTCCCATCTCAGCCTCCCACAGTGCTGGGATTACAGGCGTGAGCCACTGCGCCCAGCTTGTTTCTACTCTTTTTCAAACACATTTTCTTACTCAGCTATTATCCCATTTTATTCATTTTAGATCTAGCTTATACCCTCTGTCCAGGGGAAGGCTAATGTAGCACTGTATAGAATTAGATCAGGAATGGTGATACATGGGAGTAGTATGGTGGCTGAAGAATATAGAAGAGTAAAGGGGGAGGCACCTGTGGTTCAGTGAGTAGGGCTCTGGCCCCATATATCGAGGGTGCCGGGTTCAAACTCAGCCCCTGCCAAACTGCAACAAAAAAATAGCTGGGTGTTGTGGTGGACGCCTGTAGTCCCAGCTACTTGAGAGGCTGAGGCAAGAGAATTGCCTAAGCCCAGGAGTTGAAGGTTGCTGTGAGCTGTGATGCCACGGCACTCTACCCAGGGTGATAAAGCGAGACTCGTCTCTTAAAAAAAAATAAGTCAAGGTTTTGTTGTGCTCAGGCTGGTCAAAAACTTCTGAGCTCAAGCAATCCTCCCACCTTGGCCTTCCAGAGTGCTAGGATTTCAGATGCCAGCCACCGTATGTATTTTTAGAAAAATATTCTGTCAGAAAGTTAACCTCCACTCCCCACCCAAAAAAGTTAGACTTAACTGGGCAGTTTATTTGTAATAATATAGTCGCTGATAATATAATAATGACTTTTCTAGAAAAACTATGCCAATATCGTTAAAAATAAAGATCAAAGTTAAAGATAAAGAAAAGATAACTCAAGTTTTATACAAGTCTTTTTGTATTAAAAGATTATCTATAAGTTGGTTAAAACATTAAGAGCTCAATATATGGCATTTATACCAACTGTGACAATAAAGTTCAACACTGAACTAAATAAATATCACATTATATTTATTAATATTATTAATTTCTAACAGGAACCAGTTAAGCCCATCTATGAATTAGGCATAAATGGTGTCCTCTGTGTTGAAAACAAATTTCTGATTTGAATAAATGTCATCCAATCATTTTCACATTGTTTTTTTTTTTTTTTTTTTTTTTTTACTTTCAAACATTTTATTTTATAGAAGATTACAATGAAGTCTAACACGTTTATAGCCCTGTGTCTTCAATCGGTTCCAGGTGCCATAATGGAGTATCAGCTGGTGGATGGCTTCTACACAATGGAGATCCGGTTCTCACCATTTTCACATTGTTAAAAGGTTAACAGCTCAATCCTTACCTAGTTTTTCCAGATGTATTTTTGACCACTTTTCGGAAAGACTGATTTGCTGTGGATCTTGTAGAAAGAGTTCGAGGGGAGGCACGAACAAAACCAGATGGTGGATTCTTAGGGATTTTCTTTACTAAATGTGTTACCCATTTTTTTTGTTCATCCTGAGAACATGCTAACAGCAGCATATCTCTTGCTGATGTTACATCATAACTTACTACATAAAGAAAAAAAAGCACAATTAAAGTCATACAGTATTTTTT